GTGGAACCTGCAGGAGGCCATCACAGTCCCTGCAGTGACCTTCCTCTCCAGGGGATTCTATGCTGTCTTCCTGCTTCCAGGGGCACCCAGACCCACGTGCGCTATCTACATACAGATCCACACAGAAATAGTAGCATTTAAAAAATTGAACTATGTGTCTCAGAATCTTCTAAAAAATAACGAACTGAATGGCTTAAATCAGGTGACAAATGATACCTAGATAGATTCTTAAGACTGACAAACAACAAACAAAAACTACCTGTCTGCTACTGGAGACGTCTGTCCTATATTCATCTGGAGAAGCTGTTTGGTGTTGGTGTTCAACCCTATGCTGACCTGCTTTCCAACTGCCCAGTCTTCTACTACAGGATGACCTAGACAGCTCATTCAGTCTTGTTCCCATCTCTGTTTGCAGAACCTGAATTTATACACAAGGAAATGGACAGCCAGTGGGACTGTTTGACTCACTCTTCCCAGGCTTTGGGAGAACTCAGCAGCACTGTTTTTATTGAGTGTCTCTGAAGTCCCCACATGGAATAGACTTTCTTTCCTTAACCAGATCCTCTATCTCTCCCTCTATTTCACTGTGAATAATGTACTATTACTGGATTCCCGCCAGATATCTTCTGCTGACCATAAAAGGGATTTTACTGTGTCAGCTCTAAGCATCTTCACCAAGTTCTCAAATGGACCTTTGGGTTTTACAGACTCAGGGACAGTGATTCTCACTGTCAATGTCACTGTCTCTCTGACAAGCTCTGCAATGTGATCTAATCACAGACCTTTGTCTCTTAGCTCCGGGCTTTGTCTTTGTGCACATGTATTTATAATTGGACACTGTCCACTCTCAGATGAAGTATTTAAGTTCCTTTCTAATTAAAAAATTTACTTAATTCAATTTATGAGAAATGTGGCCTTGTTCTGTGTGTTCAGGGGTTGTTCTGAGGTACTGTTTGATCTCCTCCTTTTCCTGCCTCTGCTTCCCAAGTGTGGGATTATAAAGAGAACTCACAAGGCTTTCATATTCAGTACGAAGTCTGAGTCCTGTATCATACTTTGTAACAATCATGGCACCCCAACTAGCTGGGTGGTGGTGGCACATGCATTTAATTCCATCAGTGGGAGGCAGAGGCAGGTGGATCTTTGTAAATTTGAGGCCAGCCTGGTCTCCAGAGTGAGTTCCAGGACCACCAATGCTATGCAGATAAACCCTTTTTTGAAAAATCAAAGAAAAAGAAAAAAAGAAGAAATGAAAAGAATAAAAAAGAAAACTAACTTTCATCTCACAAAAAGATGTGATCATAATTTGTGGTTTTATATATTCCTAATGTTTGGATATTTTCCTGTCTTAAACTATTATTAAGTTAACCAAAAATAAATATGTCTCCTCATGCAGTCCATGTGACAGAATCAAATATAAATGGAGAATGTGAAGGTACACAATTTATTTTTAGTGCTTTCTTTCTTGTAGGTAATGGTTTGTCTAATGATGTATGATGTAAAATTGATATTCTCGTATGTATCTACATTACATAAAAAGTGGTGGTGTAGTGTTATTTTTAAATTGACCTGAGTTTTTTTCATGAGGCATTTTAGAACCTAAAGAACATGTACTAGAGCTTTAAAAATAAGTAGAACTGATATGCTAAAAGAAAAATGCAAACAAAAAATAGAAGGCAGGAAAAGGTGAGAAATAAAAAAATAATTATGAAACAGCTACAAATAAGATAGTTAACTTATCTATCTTAATTCTGTCAGTATTATTTTAAGTATAAATTATCAATATATACCATTAAAGACAGAGTAGCTATACATAACTGCTCATGCCCTTAATCCCAGCATTTCAGAAGCAAAGATGGATAGAGCTCTATGAGTTTGAGACTAGCCTGGTCTATATAGCAAGTTCTAGGCCACTCGGGGTTGAAAAAAAATGATTAGATTTTTAAAAAGATGAAATATATTCTATCTATAATCTCATTTAAATAAACATATAGATATGTTGTGGTGGACCTCTCGACCGGCGACGAAGAATGGCCACCACATCAGGATTCTACTCAGATCACGCTTTTACTGGAGTATCCTTGATTGATGGGGAGCATGAAACGAGGGGGGCAGGAGAACAAGGGGCAAGAAGGGAAGGGCAGGGAGCAAAGGGGCAGGGAGCTAAGGGGAGAGGCAGCAGGAAGCGAAGGGGGGGGGCACTTAGGCAGCCGCTTAAATAGGGAATTGGCACACGGGTCGCCCTGTGATTGGCTGCCACCAACAGCTGACACCAGACCGCATTGGGATAGGCTCAAGGATCCTCATCCACCGCGCATGCGGGAAGCGGGGACGCACAGCTCTCAAAGCCATAGCCAAATATGGAGTTGTTTATAACCAACAAGACAGGATGTCGGCGCCATCTTGTAATGGCGATCCTGTCCTGCTCACTACAATATGTGTAAACTGAAAGCTCAGAAATTGGGGAATGTGGAGGCCAGCAAGATGACTCAGTTGGAGAAGGTCACCGTCCACAGATACATGCACACCACACACATGCACATGAGAGAGAAAACCAGAAACTGTTGATATACTATCATAGACTTACTTCTCCAGAAAAACCTGAAGGATTCCAATGCTGCCATGATCATTCCTAACATCATTTTTCTTCCCCATTTTTCTGGGTATGAGGTCTGGAGGAACATATTAATTTAGACTCATTTCTTATCTAGTCTCTGCCACAAAGGCAAACATTCTTTGACTTTAACCTTTGCTACTTAACGCTTCAGGAACAGTATCTCAGGTAGAAATACAAATTTTCCACCTGAAGTAACTCACAAGAATGTTTTGCTTCAGAGAAGAGGCCCCATCTTTCATCTCTACATGTTGTATCTCGATGTCATGAACGAGGAAGATGGTTGAGATTCGTGCGGGTGATTTATACACAGCCCATGGGAAGTGAGCAGGGAACAAGAACACATCCTGAGCATTGGGTCTGTACCTCTCCTCCGACTGTTCCCAGGCTTGGGGACAGTTCCTTGCATTCCCATTGAACCTTGTCACACAGGGACTCTGTGGTGACCTGATAATCTAAGGATGATACTCGGAGCTTGAAGTGTAACACCAAAGCCCACACGGACTGGGCTCAAACAATAGAAGTGGCTGTTCCACACAGAAACATTTGCCACCCTGAGGGAAACGTTCCACAGTAGCCACACCTCCATTCACAAGAAGGAAAGACAGGGCTTGGTGGCCAGCGAGTTCTCTCCAGGGTCCTGATCCAGATGTTGTTGATGGAGATGTGACGTACAAACATCTGCAACTGTGAGACCAGATGAATGTTTAACTTCACACCTGTAGAACCCTAAATATGCCCTTCTCCTAGGTTATATTCTTTGGTCAAACACATAATTGTTTCACTTTCAAAAATGTACACATGGCACCAGCTCTCAAACGGCGGTTCACAACCATGTGTGCGTCCGACACCTCTTCTGATTTCCACCGGGTTGTGCATGCACATGGTGCACATATACATACAATTAACTAACTTTAAAATATTTTTTAAAGTAGGCAAGGAACATTAAATAGACAAGTTTTACAGAAACATTGGAACTGAACATCTTCATACACAAACAAAGTAGGCCAGACTCAGAAAAAAAATAAATCTTGCATGTTTTCCCTTGGGAATGAAAACTCAATTTCACATGTAAGGTTTTATTTTTTTTAATGTGTTCTGTACGAGTATAATCGGGGGGGGAGGTGTCCATGAAGGACAGGAGACGACATTGTATCCTCTGGAAATGAAGCTGCAGGAGGGTGTAAGCCGCCTAACATAGGTACTGTGGGGGTCATCTGAAGAGCAGCAAGTGCTTCTAGCCATTGAGAAGAGAGGGGAAATGTTTAGAAAGAGTAACAGGACTTTGACAAGAGAAAGGTAGAACAACAAGAGGATAGTTATGCTCAAATATGTTAAATTTGAATGAAAATGCTATGAAAACATTTTGAACAGCGAAGGAATTTTAAGGTATTTATTATAAGAAAGAATGCAGGTCGGGTGGTGGTGGCGCACGCCTTTAATCCCAGCACTCAGGAAGCAGAGGCAGGTGAATCCCTGTGAGTTCGAGGCCAGCCTGTTTCTACAAGAGCTAGTTCCAGGACAGCTAGGACTGTTAAACAGGGAAACCCTGTCTTGAAAAACCAAAAAAGGAAAAAAAGAAAGAAAGAAAGAGAAATTTATATTACCTTTTTGAGGGAACGTTTTATATGCTTGTATGTGTATGGTATAAAATATAAACTGGCCAAATCTGGGGGTGTGGCCATAGAAATGGTAAGCCTTTAACATTAGCAAATGTCAGGAAATGCAGATTAAAAATCACGATAAGTTATCACTTGTATGAGTGAATTTATCAGAAACAGAAAAGCTGACAAGTGTTACTGAGAATGTGAAGATGAGCAACCCATTTTTAAAAGGAGCTGAAAATGGATGGATGGATGGATGTCCATTATGGAAAATGTGACGGTTCCTCAAAAAGATTAAAACGCAACTGCTGTAACAACCGGCAAGTCCAAATCTGAACATATAAAAATGGCTTTTAGGTGCAAGAGATTCCTGCGCTGCTATAGTTATTGCAGTACTATCCATAAGGGGTCAAGGTATGAAAATTACTTGCGTTCATCCCTAGGTAGATGAAAAGGAAACGTGAATATCCACAATGAAATACGTATCAAAAATAGCAAAACCTTGTCACTTTGGATGACGTAGATTAACCTGAAGGAGGTCACATTAAATGGAATAGCCAGGTAGAGAAAAAAAACATTCTTAATGATGTCACAGGGTAAAGTGGGGAAAGTCTTAAGAATCACAGCATAAAGTGGTAAGTAGAATTCTCCAGTCAGCCTTGTTCCGCCAACGATTGGTAACGTTTACTGTCACTTAAGATATTCTATCCAATCATGGTGGAGACTCTGGATCTGTCCAATCAGACCCAGCTCTGAGGCGGGGCGTACTTTCCCTATCTATCTCTGGGGGTCCGCCATGTTGCTTCCGGTTATCGCTGAGGTTGGTACCCGGTCTTTTGGCCCTACGTTCTTCTGGTAAAAGCCACACAGAAGCTGACGCCCGGCACCAAGGTGAGTGCAGCCTCTGGGGAACCGGCGGGAGCTGGCCGGTGTCGGTCCTCATCTCCTCGGCTGTTCCGGGTGCAGACGGCGCTGGGCTGGGTACCTGTGCCGGGCTGAGCTCACCGCCTATCTCCCTTCATTCCAGATTCTGTGCTCAGCCTGGCCCTGCTCCCGACTCCATCTCCTGCGGCTCCTGAGCTTAGCCCTCCCTCCACCAGGTTGTCTAGCGTGTGTCCCCACCCTGCGGTTCAGAAGGACTTTGCAGACTGTCCTGTAATGTTTCATTGTGAGGGCTTCACTGGGAGGAAGGCATTGAGGAGTCGGTCACTTGACCGATTAGTGAGGGAAGAGCTGATGGGGAGGATGTTGAGAGGGAAGCGATGGCTGGAATCCTACGTGAGGGGCCTGTGACTTTGGAGTGTTAATCAGCTGGACCAGTTACTAGAGACTTAGCCATCACTGTGTTCTCGCTTCATTGCTAAGGGCATCCCTGCTTCACGGTGGCAGTGGGGACCTGTTGTGTCTGGAGGGAAACGCTATGGCACGGCAATAGAGCGCAGCTGTCTTATCATGGTTTCAGCGCCTTTGGACTTGGGACTTCCTGCAGCCTGTGGTACTTTTACCTTTAGTGTTCTGAAGAACCTTAATACGCTTTTTTAAAGATGGTGTAGAAACGGTGTGTAGGAACACAAGTTGCCATCTCGGCTAGTTGCCCTGGGAAAACTCATTTTAAAAGTTGTACAGGTCACATTTATCGTAGCTCCACTGGCCAGAGCAAGTGACGTTGTGGGAGGGAGCTATATACCAAGGCCTGAGTGCAAGAGACCAGCCATTGGGAAAAATCACTTCCAAAGCCCTGCAGTGAATACACTCAGTGTTCGGTTTTGCCAGGGAAGTCTTGAGAGTAAACCATGTAGAATGGATGAGACATGCTTTGTATGAAATTTCAATGTGTAAGACAGTATGTGTATAATGGAATGATGAATCTCCACCATTTAATAACGTGCCTGGTGCTCCTTCAACAAGATCAGTTGTGGCCGTTGTCAAGTATAGCACACCATTCCCACACAGGGAGGCATTTTTGTTTGTCTTGTAGCTTTCTTCCTGTGTTTGCAGATTGAGATCTGAAAACAGGGCATATCTAGTGAGTTAATTTCTGTTGACTTTCTCTTCTAGCTGTGATTGCACGATCCTCTCATGTCTGAAAGCCTTAGGACAATGGACACATCCGAGGTGAGTAGTATAGTTAGCCTTGCCTTGTCTTATATTGTATTTTAGGACTTTTAAAAATGGAAATGGAAGAATAAACTTAATGTAAGATAAATACATGCAGATGATAGCACCGGATGTATTGACGGAGCCAACCAGTCTCTGGTTTTCCTGACATGATCTATTTGTTGTAGGGGGTGGATTGCCTCAGAAGGTGCCAACCTCTCATGTCCCGTGAAGTCTAAACAGGCTTCATGGACACAAGCATGATGTGAACAGAGCTTCGTTCCCAGGCTGGAGATGAACGCAGCATTCCACAGTGTTCACAAGTGCTCAGACTCAGATGGAGTCACAGGGGTTTTCTTTGCTAAAGTTGTATAGTTCCAGACAGCTTTTGGAAGACCCCACTATGTCAGATGAGACCTAGAATGTAGGAAGACAATGCACTCCAGACCCTTCACTTCTCTCCCTACGTGTGTCTCTGCTCGTGCGTATATGTAGAGCATAGCAGTGTCCAAACATGTTTCTAGTAATAATTCGTCTTTACTGTTTGCATTTTTTATCCCGATCACTGTAGTCTTGGTTCAGATTCTCAGCATCTCTTCACAGTCAAATGGAAACACTGTTCTCTGCCAGCTGCCTTACTTCTGTCTTCTGCCATGCTGCAAAGTTCTGCCCGTCCTCTTTCCCAGGAAGGTCTTCATTTCAGTCCCGATGCTGCTACTGCTTTCTTAGCTTATTTTCTGAGTTCTTTTTCTCCTGATCGTAACTTATCCTTTTCTTCTTCTCAGTTCCCCACTCATTCCACATTAGAGGACTTCTGTGATCCAGTCCTTTGCTGTGAGTTTAGTGACTCTTTCTTGGTAGCATGGACTGCTTGTGTAGCATTCAGATCATAAGTTTAACTCCTGTGTTGATAGGAAGAGGTACATCAAGCTCTCCTTGTCAGAATGGAAGTCGTATCCTCCATTTTTTCCTTGTATGTGATATTGATGTCAATCTACCTTGTGGCTTTGGTGAGTACTCTGAAAGGAGGGATTTTTTTTTTTTTCTGGACCCTTCTTTTTATTCCCTCCACCTCCCCCCCTCCCCCCGCCCGTACTCCCTGAGGTCGGGTTAGGAGTTACAGTTCCTGCCAGCTCTGTTGTTGTTCATTCTGCTCCAGTGGCATATGTGATGCTGTAGATGGTGAGGAAGTGTGGTTGCCTAGAGACAAGTATATCCTTTCTTGTCACACTGGAACTGTCCATCTCTGCTAGGTGCTAGGCTGGAAGGATCCGTTCCTCAGTAAGGCCTGAGTGCTGACGAGCTGTATGGCTAGCAGGCAGGTATGGTGAAGGCCTTGGGAGTAATGTGAGAAAACAGAATTAGTGGATACCATTTGTGTACGAGTCATGAGAAAGGCACATGGAGCATGAGTAAAAACAGGAGCACACGTCTGGATAATGTGCATATCTTGCTTATATATTTTGTATCAATACTTCCATCTAGTTTGTAGATCATATAAAATATATTCCTTGCTCAAAAATGTCTTGACATAATTTTAAACACAAGAAACAGGACCAAACTAGATTGCAGTCCCTACAGGGTTGGGGCAGGATTCTCTACAAAGGCCATAAGTACTCTGGGTCAGATTCAGCAGCTTACCTGACATTTGCCGTAGACAGAAGCCAGAGTGTGGCTGGTAAAGGTGAGAAACATACTGTGCACTCTTACCTTCACTGACCTACACAGTGGCTCATGTTCGTAGTCAGTAGCTCAGAAGGAACACTTGAAGCACATTTGGACAACAGGAGTGTTGACATACTGTCTGGATGGTAGAAATAAAGGTATTTGTGTCTCCTATCAAAGCTCATCAGAAATGACCTCGGCAGAAGACTTTACAAGTAAAGTGCTTAGCACTATGAGCTTTGAAGACAGGGTCCCACTATGTGACCTTGGTTGGCCTGGAACTTGCTCTGAAAACCATGCTGGTCTTGAACTCACAGACCACCTGCCCCTGCTTTCCAAGTGCTGGCCTCATAGGTACGCACCACACCCAGCTACTAGGACCTTTTTTTGTTTCTGTTCCCATAGCTACATGCCCCACTGGCCTACCTGTCTTATATTGATAAGGAGCAATGCTTCTACCAAAGGCCACCACTATGACTCTATTCAGCTGGAGGGACTGATTTTATCCAAAACACTTTGCTTCTTATGACTCCAAGGCAATAGATGGTAAAGACGCTAGTGATGGTTTCCCCGAGTAATCTAGATTACCCTGGGAAAATCGGACTAGGCTGCCGTGGAGATAAGGGAGAATATTAATTACTTTTGTACTGTTGTGACCAAATACTACCTGAAAGAAAGCACGTAGGGGAGGAAAGATTTATTTTGGCTCATTGTTTCAGAGGTATCAGTCCATCATGGCAGTGATGGCAGGTTGGAGTGGCTCCATCAGTGGAGGTGAGAGTGTGAAGAGGAGCTGCTGTTCACACCATGGCAGACCTGGAACCTGAGAGAGAAGTGGGAACCAGGGGCAGGTATAACCTTCAAAGACACCTCATTTGTAGTCTACTTCCAGCAGCCAGACCCTACCACCTAACCCTTCCACAGCCTTCAAAGTAGCACCACACGCTTCGGATCTCATGCTCAAAACAGTGAGCCTGTAGGGAACATTCCACAGTCAAACCGTGAAATGACATCACTAAGGGTGTCTCTTAGTATAACTGTGCCCTCTTTTTGTAGCACTTCAGTTGTGCTTCCTAGTAAAGAAGCAAGGCCTGCTGAGACATTTACTGAAGGCTGGGGAAATACAGCGTGAATACTAGAATAAGATAGACAGCTAACACACACACACACACACACACACACACACACGACCAGTTACAGAAATGAAGACTAGTTATGTCAGTTACTTCTGTTTTATAACAAGTATGTTTATGTCTGAGAATGTAGCTATGATAGATTACTTTTCAGGACTGTTTTTATATGTGTTCACATGTAGCAAGCAAGTATTTTGGATGTTAACTTTTTTCTGTAATTTTTCTTCGGTCTAGAATTAGGAAGTGAGCATTTTTAGAAGTGACTACTGTTTCTTTTTCTTGGAATCTAATTTTAATGTGTATGAATTCAAATTTCTCAGCTTTTCTTGTAGTGTGTGCTTATTGACTCTACTTCCTTTCAGAAAGGTATTACCTCACTGGAAATTAAAAGTAGAACAGTTCTGACCAAGAAGGCAGTGTGGGCTGTAAACTCAGTTCAGTGTGCATATGCGGGTGTTCGTCAGCATTTGTTTGTGGTGTTCCCTGGTCCATCTTTGGATGTGGATCTTCTCTAGCTGATGCTGTCAGCGTTTGTTTGTGGTGTTCCCTGGTCCATCTTTGGATGTGGGTCTTCTCTAGCTGATGCTGTCAGCGTTTGTTTGTGGTGTTCCCTGGTCCATCTTTGGATATGGATCTTCTCTAGCTGATGCTGTCAGCGTTTGTTTGTGGTGTTCCCTGGTCCATCTTTGGATATGGATCTTCTCTAGCTGATGCTGTCAGCGTTTGTTTGTGGTGTTCCCTGGTCCGTCTTTGGATGTGGATCTTCTCTAGCTGATGCTGTCTGTATTTTTTGGCTGTCAGAGCTATAGTTTATGTTTTGATAAGCAGCAACTCCTGCTTTGGTGAAGTTACATAAGCAAGGTATATATCAAGTATCGGGCCACAATAGCTTCACAGAGTGGCCTCCTGGAGTTTGCTGATCAGTAAGAAAAAGAACAGCAAACCTAATGCCAGCTTCAAAAGGTCATCAGAGGTGGCAGGTTACTTCTACAGGTAATCCCATAGGCAGCGTCACCTAGTCCTGTCTGAGGTGAAGTGAGGTGAGGATGGAGGTATATGTTCTGTCCACATAACCAGCACTGAAAAGGAGTAGGCAGTGGTCCCCATGTCCTGGAATCCTCCACACATATGCCAGTACATCCAAAGTACCATCTTTATAGTGCATTGTATTTGTCTTAAGTCTCAAAATGATGCCAGGAATTTATTTCACACCCACTATGACTACTCTTGTTTTAGATATCTGGCATTTATAGATGGATTTCAACCTACCCTGTACAAAGTATAGGAGACTGGAGTATGTGTGGGAACTTGGTAATGAGCTGAAGGGGTAAACCTTGAGTCTTGGGCAGCTGTGGTGGGTGACTTAACCCTGAAGTTTGGACACCTTCCTAGATGAGCCCTGGTTCTGCACCCTGGTAGTTCCTAGTCGATGCTCTCCAAGCCCGTTCTCTGGTTAAGGAACTTCTTATTCTTTTTCCCAGGAAGTTTGGACTGATGATGAATGAAAGTCTTTCCAATGTATTATGCTCAAAGAGTAAGCAGCCCCTTCCCTCTTTCTCATTCACAACTCTCAAATGCTGCTTTTTTTTTTTTTTTTTTTTTTTTTTTTTTTTTTTTTTTTTTTGTCTAAGTCAGTTACTGGGCACCAGCTTAAAACAGTCATCAGAGATGGCAGATCACTTCTGCAGATATTTCCATAGGCAGTGTCAGCTTGTACAGACTGGGCTAAAGTGAGTAGAGGATGGAGGTATTTGTTCTGTTCTGAGTCTGTACACACCATCTTAATTTGCCTGTGTTTGAAAAGAAATTAAGCAAGTCATCATGGGAAAAACAGTTTACAGGTTAGCAAACCACAGGAGAAAAAAATCTTTTGTTCCTTCCCACAAATTGCCCCCTTCTTTCATGTCGCATAGTTAAATACATCAATTCCTAAATAATTGTTTATGTAGAAACCTTGGAAACAAACTGATATTTTTATCAAGGACAAAAGAAATTAATAAATGCTATTCTTACTTTTTATTTTCTGTTGCTGCTTTGTGTTTCTTCTGTGATGAGTTCCCAGTTCCTTACTACCTCTTGTGTCTGCCTCGTCTCCAACTCTTGGTCCCCCTGTCTCAGCCTTCTGTGGGAGTGGGATCTGTGGAGCCTACCACATTGCATGTCTTCCACTCTGTATAGTTAGTGCCCTATTTCCCAGTGTGGAAACTAGGAAGTGATTCTTCCCCTCCGGCTCTGCCCTGAGACCTTCCCCTTTCTACTTTCATGGGATGACTTTCAAAATGTTGAGGTGTTGAGCTGGCTTCTGCTTGTTTATATATTGCCTTATAGGATGCTAGTGATGTTTATTTCTGTTGAATCTAGCAGTTCTTCTAGCTTTTGGAAGAGCATATGTGGGTGCTTATGACTGTATTTTATAAATAACTTAGAGACAACATTGACTGCTTGGATTTATCGTTGTTGAGTCAGAAGTGTATTTTAAGTGGGAAACGAGAGGAGTATCAATTGCTTACATTTGTTTTCTGCCTTTTGTCTCTCATCATTACTAAATTAGTATGTTTGTAAGGCATTTTGCAGATGATTTTTCTTCCGTGATAAGAAAACTTAAATGTATATCCTGTGTAAACAATGCTCGTGGAGAGGAGTGACCTCCCATGTTCCTGTCTCTGACCAAAGGCTGAGGCTTGGGCTAAGGAAAGATGTTTGATTACAGGGGTTGGTGTCATTTGAGGATGTCTCTGTGGACTTCACCTGGGAGGAGTGGCAGGACCTGGATGATGCTCAGAGGAAGCTCTACAGGGACGTGATGCTGGAGACCTACAGCAGCCTGCTGTCCTTGAGTGAGTGAAACTCTCCAGTATTCCTATTAGAAGCTTACTGCTTTTTGGTAACTACAGAAACTTCTTCCAAGGATTTTCTGTTGTTGATGTTGTTGTTGTTGTTGTTATTCTAGTGACCAAACTAGGTCTTGTGCAATGTAGGTAAGTACCCAGCACTGAGCTTAATCTCCAGACTGTTCGTATTTTTTTAAGATTTGTTTTATTTTTTATATGTATGGGTATTTCGCCTCCATATATGTGTATGCACCATATACATGCAGTGCTGAAGGAAGTCAGAAAGAGCACTGGAGTCCCTGGAACTGGAGTTACAGGCAGTTGTTAGTGGCCATGTAATTGCTGGAAATCAAGCCTAGGTCCTCTGCAAGAGAAGCAAGTATTCTTAATTTTGAGCCACTTCTCCAAGTCTCTATTTGGTGTTTGTTGTTTTTTGAGGTAGGGTCTCACCATAGCCCTGGCTGTTCTTGAACTCACTATGTAGACCAAACTGTCCTTGAACTCACTATGGAGATCCAACTGCCTCTGCTTTCCAAGGATTGAAGGAATGCTGCACCAAGTCCAGGGCTATTTCTGTTTTTAACTGGCACATCACAGTTGCACATATTCCTGAAGATGTTCTGCCTTCCCAAGTCTTAACATTAGGCTCGATGAGCAGCTCTTCTCTACTGCTCTTCTATGCCTCGTTGTCGTTGAGTATCCCGAGCTGTCGACACAGGGAGACGCAGCAGAGAGAGCATCCGCACTGGCATGTTAACAGCGGAAGCTAAAGTTTTTTATTTATTTCTCAAAAACCTCTTCCTATATACTGTGCATGATAGTGCACACCTTAGATCCCAGCACTTGGGAAGTAGAAACAGACAGATTTCTGTGAGTTCAAGGCCAGTCTAGTCTACAAGGTGACTTCAGGCCAGGCATAACTACAAAGGGACTCTGTCTCAAAATAACTAAAACCAAACGTGTACACACACCTCAACAAACGAACAAACAGCCTCTTCCTGTTTACTACTCTTTTAGTTTTGTGCTTGTATCAGTTTTTACATTTGTGCTCTCGCTGATATTTTCTTTGTACTAATTTCTACTTTGGTGTTTTTGTCCTTTCTCTGTTCCTCTTTCCTTCGTTGCTTTTCTGTAGGAACTTAACTGCTTCCTTTCTGTTGCTCTGACCACATTGTTTAATGGTGGTATAGTTTTTATTTGTTGCAATGCACTTTTAAGTTTTTTTGTTTGGTTTTGATTGTTTGTTTTTAACAGTTTTTCATTCAGGACAGTGTTGTTTACTTTTCATAATTTTTTTTTAATACATGACTTCTTGTTTGTGTGTGGTTCAATCACATCTGTCTGTAGGGCTTGCCTGACCCTTTCACGCATGAGAAGGCTTCCTCTACTTTCCCTCTTATATCTTGAGGTAGACTCTCTCACTGAACCCGAAGCTTGCCTTTCCAGCCAGGCTATTGGCCAGCAACCTCCTGGGATCTGCCTGTCTCTGTCCTCCTCCTTCTGCCCCCGCCCCTCCCGCACACATACACACACCACACCCAGCTTTCATCTGAGTGCTGGGTCTCCAGCCCTGATCATCTGAGTTGTACAAGCATTTGTAAGTCCTCTGACCCGATGTGAAGATGGGATCTTACTGTGTAGCTAGTGTATTAGTCACTTTTCTATTGCTGTAATAAAACACCATAACCAAGGGAACTAGACAAGAAACATTTAATTGGCTTATGATTTCAAAGAGTTAGAGTCCATGATGGTAGAACAAAGGCATGGCAACAGGAACGACTGTGGGCAAGCTTTGAGTTTCAAAAGTCATGTGTCATTCCCAGTGTTCTCTTTTTGCATCCTGTTTGCCGATCAAGATGTGAGCTCTCAGTCGTTCCTGCTGTCATGCCTTTGTTCAAGTACTATCTCATTTGCTTTTTTTCCATTTTCTTAATTTGCAAAATTTTGTTTTTTAAAGATATACTTTCTTAGCCAGGTGTGGTAGTGCACACCTTTAATCCTCCCAGCACTTGGGAAACAAAGGCAGGTGGAGCTCTGAGTCCAAGACCAGCCTGATCTACAGGATGAGTTTCAGGACAGCCAGGGCTACACAGAGAAAACTTGTCCTTGAAAAACCAAAAACAAAAAGATCTCTCTTCACAGACTTTCCTTCAAAATTGTTTCAGTGCTAAAATTATAGAACTGTGCCACATGCTGGCTCTCAGGATGTCTTAGTTCTGTCTTTGTTTGTAGGTTTTTTTAAATCATATTTAATTATGTGCGTCTGCATGTGGCTTTATGTATATGATGTCATGTATGTGAGTACAGTGTTTACATAGGATGCAAGAGGAAGGTAGATCGTCTGGAGCTGGAGTTCACAGGTGCTTCTGAGCTGCCTGGTGTTAGTGCTGAGAACTGAGCCCCACTCCTCTGCAAGGGAAACATGTGCTCTTCACAACCGAGCTGTCTCTCCAGTCCTGTTTTGTACTTTTCATAGTTGACTGTAATACACCTTGGGAATTGATCTGTTTTGGCTGAATCTGTGGATGTTCTTAAAGCACTTATAAAATGTTCTCATTGGTCCTGTCACTGCCCACTGCCCATAATAATATATATTATCATTTTAGTGTATGGTTGTTTTGCCTGCATGTATATCTGTACACAACATGAGTGCAGTGCCTTCAGAAGGCAGAAGAAGTGCTGGGCGGTGGTGGCACACGCCTCTAATCCCAACACTCAGGAGGCAGGGGCAAGTAGATCTCAGTGAGTTTGGGGCCAACTTGCAGAACAATCAGGACTGTTTCTCAGAGAAATCCTGTCTCAAAATAAGACAAACAAGCAAACATTAAATTAATTAATAAACAGAAGGCAGAAGGCATCTGTTTTCCTGGGACTGAAGTTGGAAACAGTTGTGAACCTCCATTTGGGTTCTGAGAATTAAACTCACGTCCTCTGCAAGAGCCATCTCTCCAGCCCAGTGTATTGTCATTATTTAATGTACCTGACTTAGCAGTTAGCCAAAACTTGTACAGTTCTTTCCTATTACTAGATCGGTGTGATCCCAAACCTGAGTTGATCCTGAAGTTGGAACAAGAAGCTGGGCCATGGAAGGAAGATGTCCCAAACCAGAGCCTCCCAGGTCAGTGAATGCGCCCTGGACAGGGATGCCAAGTGAGGAAGCTCAGCAGATGGTGGCTGTTTGAGCTCTTTTCTCCATTTTTCCCATGTTCCAGACTTGATTATAAGTGTTCTTACTCATCTAACAATCAGTGTGTACAGTCTACAAAAGGCTCTTTCATGTACATGTGTACCACTTTATTAGTCAGGGTTTCCTAGAGGAGCAGAACTGATAGAGCGCACACGCACACACACACATACATAGGGGATTTATTAGAGTAGATTACAAAGGCTATCACAATAGACAGGCCAAGGATCTGGTCATTCAGTCAGGTCGGTGAGACTGGATGGATGGATGTCTCAGCAGTACCAATTTGTGCTGGACTCTCCCAGGATTCCTAGAGAGCTGCTGTCTTCCGTATGCAGTGGAATCCTGAAGAGGTCTAAACCAGTGAGGGAATGCCTCTGCAGCAGGATAGATACTTGCCAGTGGGAGTGAGGGCAAGCAGGCAAAAAGCAAAAGCCTTCTTCCATGACCTTTTATATGGGCTACCAGCAGATGGTTTGGCTGAGATTTAGAGTGTGCCTTCCCCATCAAATGATCCAGTCCAAAAGATCCCTTACAGGTATGTGCAGCTGCTTGGGTTTTAGTTGATTCCAGATATAGTCAAGTTGACAGCCAAGATTGGCTATGTTTGCCATGTGTTACCATAGGCATAGCAAGTTCAGTTCAAGCCTCCACACAGAGATTCATTCCCCTCTCTAGTTTTGCAGTGTGTCACCATAGGCTAAACAAACTCTATCCAATCTGTGGTTATTTTATTTAAGTTCTTACTTGTTCTTTCCTCATTTCTGTAGCTTGTTTGGAGCATTTGTTCATATGTTTATCGCTTGTTTGCTCCTTTTTGTGCACTTGTTTAATATTCTGGAACAAGCAGTGGTAAGTCAAGAAACTTATCCATAGACTAAAGAGCTCCATTGTGTTGAGAAATGAAAGTTTTGGCATTAAAAAAAAAAAATCAACCTCCCCCAAAGTCTTCCTGAATTAAAGAAGAAAAATAAAATAGTTAAGGCCTAAAGAACATGCAATTTTAATATTATGACTTTCATTTGATTTAATTTATTTCAGACCACTGATTTCTATACATACTATACAGTATATAGGTGGACAAGAAGTATGAAGAGAATTCTTATTATTTTATTAAGAATCCAATTTTGATGTTACTAGTTTGAAACTAATATTGAAAACAGTGGTTTAGGCAGCTCACCATGGGGTTGAGCAAAGCAAAGGTGCTGGAAATGAAGTCATGTGTGTGAAGACAGCAGAATTTGTGTGGCTGAGAAGCACCCGGTGTAGACTCTAGGATGGGGTACATCTTGAGCTTAATGTGACATTTAGGAGACCTTGGACTTGAAGGTCAAATGACCCCACAAATTGCTTGTTTCTGGACTCATATTTTGTGAAGTGTAGTAATAAGAGGAGTGGGGCTGTGTTCCCAGCACCCTGGCCGCCTGCTCGGCTAGCTTATGCCCCGAAATAATTACACGGACACTGTATTCTTTTAAACACTGCTTGGCCCTTTAGCTCTAGCCCTTACTGGCTAATTCTGATATCCCGATCAACCCATCTCTAATAATCTGTGAGAACCGGTCTTACCGGCCTAGTCCATCCTGGGTCGGAGCTTCATGGCGTGTGTCTGCCCAGGAGCGGGGCATGGTGTCTCTGCTCCAGCGAGCAGAGCTGTCGAGTCTGACCTCACTTCCTCTTCCTCCCAGCGTTCTGTTCTGTTTACTCCTCCCACCTATCTTCTAACCAATAAAATGGGCCAAGGCAGTTCCTTTATTAGCCAATGACCTTCCTCCATCAGTGAAGGGTTGTGCTAAGTAATTAACCTTCCACTTTTCTCTGTGTAGAAATCACTGTAATTCGACATACACAATGAATTTGTCCAGGAAACTCCAATTGTTGTGAAATTTTCGCATGGTCAAAGTGCCAGAGTAAATAAAGGCATGGAGAAGCATGATTCTGAGTCAGCATGTATGTGTTCACACAGATAGGAAATGCCAGTCGTTCCTGTCCGACCCATGCAGCAATCTCACATTTCCAGTGTTACGGATATACCTTGACTTATAGAACCAAATGTCTGCAGATTTTTCTTTTGTTGTATTTAATTGTGATTAAATTAGGAATATCAAGAATCTGTTCCTCTGTATATGATCATTAGTATTTGAAAAGCACTGGAGATGTCTGCATCATTTCATCAAGAAATCTTAAGTAACAGGCAAGTTTACTGCACTTGATCTGTATGGATACTAACCAGAAAACCTTCCGTTTCTTTATTTCTTCTAGATCTGCAGCATGTGAATGGCCCGAATGAGATCAGCCAGGATAGTCAAAAGATGCGTGGATGCAATCTGGTAATTGCCAAGAGCAGCACATCAGCTGAGCAGAGGGCTGAAGCAGGAAAACCATTTGCTAGCCCAAGCTGTATTTTGAGGCTGGCTGTAAAGAATGACGTGTCTTCTGGAACGAAACCTGGGGCACGTAATATGTGGGCTAATGTGCTTCTCCCTAGTGAGCCCAGTGAGGTGCAGGCGGTAAAGGAACTTGGTTTTCCAATTGTGACCAGGGTGTCCCCCAGACTTCCTGAGCCTCTCAGTCTGTATCACAGTACTAAATGTGAAGAACAGCACTTGCAGTGTCGTGAGCACAGTGACGCTTTCCACACGAAGACAGTGTGGCTACAGGACACATTTCCTATCAGAGACCCCTCCAGTAAATTGAGGAACTACAGGAAAGGATTAGAAAAGTTAACTCTTCCTGGTCTAGGAGGGACCCAGGTACAGGAGCAAACTTTTGAATGTAAAGTGTGTGGGAAATTGTTCTATAGAAATTCTCATCTCACACAGCACTTAAAAACCCACAAAGAAAAGAAATATTATAAAGGCAATGATTGTGGGCCAATATTCAATATACAATCAAACCTCCCAAAACATCAGCATTCGCATGTGGAAGAAGAGCCTTACACATGTGATGAAGATGAGAAATACATTTGTCAGAAATCAAAAAAGAGTGTGCAGCAGAGCATCTTAGGGGATGGAAGGAATGTGTACGGGAAAATTGTTGGCTCAAAATTAAATCGCAGTGTTCAACAGAACCCTCACAAGGCTGAGAAATCCCATGAATACAGTCTATCTGGAAAGACAATTAGTAAGTCGAACCTCCAGCTTGAGCTGGCACACAGATACGAGAAAGCATATGAGTGTAATACTTGTGGGAAATCCTTTAACCACACACCAGGTTTCTACTTGCATTCGGGAGCTCACACAGCTGAGAAACCCTACGAGTGTAAAGACTGTCAGCAGTCAAAACTCACTGTGAACCAGCAAACCCTCACGCAGGAAAAACGCTACGTGTGTAATGTGTGTGGAAAAGCCTTTTACAAAAGAGCCCACTTACATGCACATCAGAGAACTCACACAGGTGAGAAGCCTTATGACTGTAAAGATTGTGGGAAGTCTTTCAGGCTGAAGTCATTTCTGGTTGTACATCAGAGAATTCACACAGGTGAAAAACCCTTTGCATGTACCACGTGTGGGAAAAGTTTCAAGCAGAGGACAAGTCTCTACACGCACATACGAATTCACACGGGTGAGAAACCCTATGAATGTAAAGAATGTAGGAAATCTTTTATTCTCAAGTCATACCTCACCGTACATCAGAGAACTCATTCGGGTGAGAAACCCTATGAGTGTGATGTATGTGGAAAATGCTTTAAGCAAAATTCCCACCTTCATGCACATAAGAGAACTCACACAAATGAGAAACCCTATGAGTGTATAGTGTGTGGCAAAAGTTACAAGCAGAGCCCAAGCCTCTATACACATAAGAAAATCCATACAAGCGAGAAGCCCTATGAATGTAAACAGTGTAGGAAGTCATTTAGTTTGAAGTTTCATCTCACCAGACATCAGAGGACGCACTCGGGTGAGAATCACTACCAGTGAGATGTGTGTGGTGAGCCTTTAAGTCGAGTTCACACCTGTGTGCATCAGAGCTCACCCGGAGAGATCCTATGAAGATGCAGAACAGCTCCACAGGAGCTTTCCTGCGGAGAAACTCCACCCGTGTTCCGTATGTGGAAAGGCCTGCCCGGTGTCAAGCTGGTACACAGGTCAGAGAATTCACGCAGGTGACAGACTTTTATAATTAAAAAGAAAATATTCCAGCCAAAGATAGAGAACTCACAAACGTGAGAAATCTTAAGAGCATATAAATGTAAAAAATATCTCAACCATAGATATAATTCACTGTGCATTAAAACACATACGCATGGATGAAATGTTGAAAACCCTTTCTCCAGATATCATATCTCATCAGTCAATAGGTAATGTATACCCTATAAGGAAGCCCTATGAATGTAGAAAGTCCTTCACCCATAGGTCATCCTTTACTGCATACCAAAGAAGACGCATGGGGACATCTCCATGAATGTTGTTTATGTGCAGAAAACAGGTACTCAAGACAAACGTCCGTGTCCACCTGAAAACTCAAAACTGAGAAACTCTGACTCTAAATACTGTAGGAAATATTTCAGCCATAAGCCATCTGTTGCTGTACATGAAAGAAGTCACATAGGTGAGTAACCCTAAACACATAGGTGAGTATAATGGAAGCAGGGAACCCTTTAAGAGATGCCAGGTCTCTTTATTAAAGAACTTGCACTGCTGAGGAACCCCAAGAGTATCTACAGGGAAATGCCTTTTCCAGTAGGCAGTCCGCTCTAAACATCAGTGACTGGCTGGAAGCACATGAGTAATGTATGTGGGAAACCCTCTTCCTGGATGTCAGCAGACGTAATCACCGTGTATCTGGAAGACCCACATCTCTAAGTCAGACCTCAGGAGACATTAGAATTAGCACAGAGACTGTAAAGCAGGTAATCATGTGGGCAGTGTTTCTAAGAAGTTGCTCAGCAGGAAACCATCCCACAGGTCCCATGGGCTCCCCAAGGTTTATTGTCTGTGCTGCACTCAGAAGCCTGTGCTGCACTCAGAAGCCTGTGCTGCACTCAGAAGCCTATGCTGCACTCAGAAGCCTGTGCTGCACTCAGAAGCCTGTGCTGCACAGTGCATTTCTGTTTGTGAGCCGTCTGCTAAGCTCATGGAATGTAAGTGCACGTGTTCTATTTATTTCTATCCCACTATCCCCAAAATCTTACAACAGACTGCACCTGGGTGCCCATCCATAGTTGGCCTGAAGTGCACATAACCTCTAGCATGTTTGGGAGCCATGTGGAGAAGGGCACTGTGGCTCAGGAATACTGTTGGTCCTGAGAGCTGTGATCCTGCCTGTTTCTGCCGTCTCTCTAGTGTCTGGAAGGGAGATCTGCACAATCTGTAATAGGGCAGGCCCACAGCCATTAGTTTCCTCTAGGAGGTGGGTGGGACAAATTCTCTTTTTAGAAAGCTATCCGGAGAGAGATCCTTGTTGCCACTCTTCATTCTCATGCTGCTTTGTGGGGAGAAGAAATCCTGATGAAATTCCCATAACTACCGAGTGTTTTTAGTAGGGATCTTCCACTACACAGATCATTGTGTGAACATTTTTTTTTTTATGTGAAACCTCTCAACTTCCAGTCAGGTTTCAAAAATCCTGACCAAGGAAAATTATCACTATGGAATCTGTACATTAATTTTTTAATGGTAAATCTCATATTCCAGTTTTTCAAAATCTGCATGCCAGGAGATGAATATTGGTAATGCTGCCTATCGGCGGGCATCAGTCTCTGTCTGGGGTCATTTGTGATGTTGTAACCAGAGTTTGGGAGAAGCCAGTGGCACATGCAGGGTATAGCTGACCAGCCTGCGGTGTGTTGGGTAGTACACTCATGTATGTATGGTTCATGCATGTGAGTGTGTCATATCATCATGTTCCATGATGAGACTTAGCAGAAGGGACTCTCCATGGCTTCGTGTTGCAATGAACATTGATATTTCCTACAGTTGATGCCATTCTGGCCTCTTTATATCTTCCTACCCTCAGACATTGTATTATATACCTTAATCTTGTGTCATCTAAATGTGTATGACAGTTACTACTAGCTCAAGTAAATAAAGGTATTCTTTTCCTAACATGATGTCTCAGAGTAGGTTTGTGTGTCTGATAGCAAAAGTATTTACAGTAAAACACACACACACACCAAAAGGACATTGGTTCGCAGTGGTGGCGTGAAATGATTATTAACTAGTGCTCATTCCCTCCTACCCTCAGAGGGGTGGTATAATTAGAATAATAAAAACCCAGAGACAGGTACTGAGGGTCAAGCTGAAGATCAGAAAAGCAAAGCAGCCAACCACTAGAGAGACCTTTCATCTCTACCAAATCTTCAGACCTAAAGGGCGAGATTCTGTCTCCATGAATCCTCAGAGTCCTCACTCCACTGAGTTCCTGTCTCTTCCCCTTTATATTCCTTTCTCCGCCCAACCATATCGCTCCTGTCCCCATCTCCCTATGCTGGAATTAAGGTGTGTGACTCCCAAACACGGGATTGAAGGTGTGAACCACCATCACCTGGATCTGTTTCTGGGTCACTCTTGTGTAGCTCAGGGTAGCCTTGAACTCTCAGAGATCCGTCTTCCTCTTCTCCCAAGTCCTGGAACTAAAGGTGTGTGCCACCACTCCCTGGCCTCCAGTGACTTAAATTTGTGCTCTGATCTTCAGGCAAGCTTTGTTTATTAAAATACAAATAAAATAGTACTACAGGGTAATTTCCCCTTTGTTCCTCTCTCTAACACCTTTAAATGGGTCATCAGCACCAAGTGCTCTAACTACGGTGCTTTAATTCCCATTAAAAAATAGAAACTGGGGCTGGAGAGATGGGTCAGAGGTTAAGAGCACTGGTTGCTCTTCCAGAGGTCCTGAGTTCAATTCCCAGCAACCATATGTTGGCTCACAACCATCCATAAAAAAAGAGAGAGAGAGAGAGAGAGATCTAGTGCCCTCTTCTGGCATGCAGGCAGAACACTATAAATAATAAATAAATATATTTTTTAAAAAAAGAAACTGACTCAGTGTGATGTGCTGAAATGAAAGTGTTTGCCAGGTAACCTGGAATGTGATGAGAGATATATTCTCTAAGCATGACAGTGAATTAGTTTACAAGTATCTTGTAAGTTGGTAGGAGCTTGCAACAGAATGTTGAACTATACAACTGTATTTCCTACTTTGCCAGAGTTGGATTTGATTTTGTTCCCAGTTCTACATACTTAGGGATTTTGCACCACTTTGTTTCTGGTGATCACTTGTGATTAGTGTTTTCATCAGTTTTTTATACTAAGCATATGAGCCAGCTCTGCCTGTTGACATCCTGGTGGAGTTAGTTCCATGGCATCTCTTAGAATGTGCCAGAAAGACAGCAGAGACATGGAAGAAGGGAGTCTTCTGTTGTACACCGACCTGTGGGGCAGACCTTGAGGTTCCATATAATCCTTTACTGGTGGGACCCTAGATTATCAGTATACAAAACTATAAAAATCCACCTCAATGGTGCTGTGTAGAGCCACTGAAAGAGCTAATGTGAGAACTGGGGCATTTTTCTTTTGGTGGAGAAGGGGCATTTACTTATGGGATTGTGTTTATCTTGTTCCATAAGAAATAGTTACCTCTGGGCAATGGTGGCGCACGCCTTTAATCCCAGCACTCAAGAAGCAGAGGCAGGCAGATCTCTGTGAGTAGCAAGACAGCTACACAGAGAAACCCTGTTTCAAGGAGAGGGAGGAAAGAAAGAAAGAAAATACAGTTACCAAGTTACAAACCAACATCAGCATTCATGCTTGTGCAGAATCCTAGCACTTTGGAGGGATTGGCCTCATTATGATTTTGAGGCCTATGTAAGAAGTCACTTTGAACCCAAACACTTACTGCCTCACACATGTGCAGACACACACACACACACACACACACACACACAATTTGTGCCCTAGACTCATCCGTTTGAGTTAAGCATCCCTCCCACCGCTCCTGCCAACCTTCCCAATAATAGACCTACTATGATAGTCATCATAGGCAAATGCTATTTTATCTACATAGCCAGATTAAAAATAATTGTTCAGAAAACAGTATATTACAGTTCAAAATGGCATTTTAGATTTAAAGCAAGGTAGATACTTAGTATTAAAACTCACTAACACAACATCTCTATGTATTTAACAACACTTCTTGGTATGTAAAGCAAAGCACTCAAGGGGAGCTGGCTTGGAGCTAGAGCCCTGGAGTTAGAACACTGGGGCTAGAGGAGGCATTGAGGGACAGTATACAATTGAAGAAAATGGTTCTTAAGTGAAAGCCATGGTAGTCCTGTTTAAGATATGGAGAATCCCTATGCCAGGCAACCAGAGTCAAATCAATACCTGCCCTGAAGAAGGTCCCATCCTGCCTGTCTGCACCTATCAATCTTAAGCCGTTCCAATCTGGTGCTGAGGCCTGGAACGTTCTTAAGGAACCACTTCAGTCCACACTGGAAACTCAAGAAACATGATAACAGAGAAGGAATCAGCAGCCGTCACAAGATAATTACAAAGAAATTAAAAAGAATCAGTTCTTATATGGAAAATAAAGGTTTCTTCTGGAGCTAAATGTCGGGGACCATGGTCCAGTTGTCAAATTGGTTGTCAAATTGACTGCATCTAGATTCAACTAAAACAAGCTTTCTGGGCACTCTTATTTTCTTAATGTTTAAGACATTCGAATTAAGAGTTTTCTTAGATTATTTGAAAATGGAAGACCCACCCTAAATCTGGGTAGTGAAAGGACGTGGAAGGAGGAAACTGCTTTTTGCCTGCTTATCCTAACTCTTGCTGGCAAGTTCATCTTAGCCTGATGCTGCAGCATTCCAGCAATGATACTAGAGCCAACGTCTTTAGGATTCCAGCATAGACTGAAGACCAGTGGCTCTCCTTCTCCAGGAATCCTCCAGGCTCTCATTGCAAGATTGGGGCTGCGGAGACATCCACTCTTTTGAACTGAGCTTACCCACAAAGCAAAACTATAAAGCCACAAAGTGCAAAAAAAAAAATCCAAAAATTAACACAACTCATCTTTAAAAATGAAAACTCCATTGGGGTTGTAAGAGGAATTCAAATGATTACAGAAAATAACAAGCAAACCAAGGTAATAGAAATGTTTTTACAGCAATACAGGAGCAGAGATGCTGAATGGTCCTGACTTAGTGACCTAACAAAACGGCCTCAGAGTGAATATATTAAACTCAAGCTGAACACAAAGTTGCACTCTAATTGGTAGACGCAGCCTCTTAAAACAATGTTAGCAATGCTGGAACTGCCATGCACCCCAGTAAATACACTGGAGAAGACTGTGGTGTAACCTCAGTAGTCCACACAAGATACAAATGCACAAGCACAGCATGCTGCACTGAACCTGCGGCTCTGGATTACACTGGGCAAAATCAGCATGATTCACTGGCGCTGTCAGTATGTCTGTGCAGAGAGACAGACAGACGGCTAGATTTATCTTCAACAAAAGGAAACAGGTGCTAGGGTTCTAGAGGCTCTAATCCTAGGTCTGGGAAGGAAAATGTAGAATGAAGCTTGGGCGTTTTTCAGTGTCAGGAAAGAATGGGGTGGAGATGCGGGTCAACCGATAGAAGCTTCCCTATTTGCACTGTGTTAACAATGTCCTCTACTACATTTCCAGCACAGCATAAAACCCTGACAGCAATTTATCCTCTTCATCTCAGTGCCCGGGAGCTGGAGCTGGAAAACAACTTCCTGGGTAGGAACAAGAGAGGATGTTCTGAAGTGAAGGGATCTCTGCAGCCACCGTGGTCAGCAGAATAACAATTGGTAGGAGGCAAGAAAGTGATTCAGTTCAGCATGACTCAGAAGGTTGGTCCAAACTTCAGGACTCTGACCCTGAGTAGTTTATTTTAGGCACAAATAAGCACAGCATGATTTGAATTTTTTTTCTGGTGATAATTAATGCAATCCCACGTACACAATAAAGCTTAACTCACGACTACATCGAAATTCTTTGTAAAGTACACGTGACATTTTCCATAAAGATGGGTTCTATAGATTGGGTACATGTAACACCTTCCATAAAGATAGATTCTATAGGTTGACAAGCTCAGAAAGAATAAGGGTCTAGGGGAGGATCCAGTATGGTGCCAAACATCACCAGGCTACGTCCCCTCCCAGCCTTCCAAGCAGATAACAGGTTATGCATCTTGTCTTCTGAAGGAACATCCCTATGTGTTTAACATTCCTTGTTTTCTTAGTGCTTATCTTCACAAGGACCTCTGTGCCTCCCACACTGGAAAGTATAAAATATTAAAATGAATGAATATGTAGATGTATTTGTTTGTCAAAGGTGTACATTTAAGGAGCTGGAGATATTGCACCGTGGTGAAGAGCACATACTGTTCTTCCTGAAGACCCATGTCAGTCCTCTGAACACACATGGTGGCTCAAAACTGTCTCAACCCCAGTTCCAGGCCGTGTAACAGAAATTCCTGGCCTCTGATGGCACCAGGCATGCACTGATGCACAGGCAGACATGCAGACAAAACATACATTACATCTTTTCAAAATTTTTAAGTGTACATTTAATTGTTGCTTCATAAACCAGGAGAATCAGCAAACACCTTTAATCCCAGCATTTAGGAGGCAGAGGCAGGTGGATCTCTTTGAGTTTGAAGCCAGCTTGGTCTATATAGAGAGTACTCGGACATCCAGAGCTAAATAATAGAGACCCTGTCTTTAAAAAAAAAAGTATCTTTGAGACTAAGAGGGGGTTCAGTGGCTAAGAGCACTCACTGCTCTTACAGAGGACCCAGTTTGTTTCCCATATTCAGTGGTTCACAATTGCCTGCCTGTAGCTCCATTTCTAAGGGATCCAATGCCCACCAGTGGGCACTGCATGCAAGTGGTGCACATAGAGACAAGAAGGCACACACACATATAAATTTAAATAAAAGAAAGTGCGTTTGGTGCTGGAAAGATGGTTTGGCAGTTAAGAGCACTGCTGTTCTTCCGGGGGACCTGAGTTCAATTCCCAGCACCCACACTGAGTTGCTCACAACAACCTGTAACTCCAGCTAAGGGGGGCAGAAGGAGACTCAAATAGATGTCTCCAGCTTTCTTGGGTATCCCTTTGCACATGCACACATATCCCCACACACATAACTAATAAGACAATATTTAAAAATTGTAGATTTCAATGTATGCACATCTGACTATATAAACAAAGGAAGTAAAAATAAGCACAGATGGATTGATGGGTAGGGAATGGGTTAAAGCAATAAAGAAGGTTAAAAATGCCTAATAAGTAGTTGCTGAAGCTGCGAAGTCTATTATATCCTTGTGTGTGTTTACATATGTTTGTATATTTTTCTATAGTAAAATATTTATTTTATAAAAAGCAAAGTTAAGCCAAGTGAAGTGGTAGATGCTTATAATCCTAGCACATGGCAAAAGCCTGTTGGTCCTGTGGAGGTTGGGAGATCAGTTCAGTGTTATCTTCATGTGGTATATTTACATACATACAGGCAAAACACATATACACCTAAAATGAAAATAAATTCGTCTTAAAAACAGCAACAAAGATCTTGAATACCGTTTGGAACAGGCAAGGCCAAGGTCGTTGAGAGCAGGGGAGAAGCTAATTCATTTTTCACTGTGACGCAAGTGTATTCATTGTGTTAATAACTCAGTGAGCTTTTGCACATTTATTTTTGTTTGCATGCTATACATTAATAAAAACTTCAATATTATATATTGTCACAAAAATTTCACGGCAGTTTCTAAAAATAATGAAAGAATTTAGTGTCCTCTGAATGTTTACCTATCCCATCATCAGAAGGTAATGGTCTCCAAATCCTAAACCTTGGGCAAGCCCTTAGACTCATCAGTTAGCTCAATTACACTGAATTTTGAACAATCATGAGTGTGTGGCAGGGGGATGTGTAAGTGTGAGTGAAGATGCCCAAAGACTCCAGAAGGGTTTGGGCTCCCTTACTTACAGAAGCTTGTGAGCTTCCTGGTGTGGGTGCTAGGAACAGAATTCAGGTGATCTGCTCTCGGGTACAAGCACGCTCTTTACCAATGACACATTTCTCCAGCCCCAACTACATTTTTTTTAATGATACAGCTTTTCCTTGAGGTGTGCTAATACCATGATGCTCACCAGATTCCCTTCACACAGCAGGGTGCTTATGGAACTGGCTTCAATCAGGAGAAAAGTCAGTAGAAAAGGGTCTGACCAAGAATATGCTCCTAGAAAGTCACTCTGGTTCTCCTTCGGCTTCCCAGGCATTGGCTCCATCTAGTGAGAACGAATAAGCATTGCATCGTGCAGGACGCAGTCATCACAGAAAAAGGTGAAGCAGCATTGTCAGGGACGAGAGTAAAGACTAAAGACTCCATTAGAAAATAGCCTTTTAAATTCAATAAATTCAAATGAAACATAATTATATACATAATCCAGACTCTGCTTATTTCCATTTTATGTGCCTTTTTGATGTTATTTTATTGTATCTTTAAAGACTTGGTTGTATTTTTAAAAACTATTTCTTTTTATAACTGTCTATACTGTTTTTTCCTCTCTCTCCCAAGCATATGTACATTTTTTTAAACACACAAAAAAAGAAAATAGGCTTTTATACCACAAACTGAAGTTTCTGGGGCAAGTTCCTCAAGAGATTTCTATCCAGGAGACTGACAGGCTTATTTAAATTAATTTGTAAGAACAAGGCAACTATGTTTCTTTGATATCTTATGTACTTATTTTCAAGACAAGGTCTTACTATGTGTCTTGGCTGTACTGGAATTCTTTATATAGACCAGGCTGGCCTGGCTCCAGCTCTTCAATGATGGCATTAAAGATGTGGGCCACCACAGCCACCCTGTGTTTATAATCCTTGAGGCAGTTTAAAATACCGCTCTTCTACCCAGAGCCAGAGATATGGCTCAGGCTCTCTACTTACTATTTTAAAAATGTGAAAATTGTTGAAGAAAGTTATGATGAAATATAGGAAATAGCCTTCCCTTAAAGGGCCTCAACATGCGACTATTCTCTTCCATCTTTCTTTCACAAGGAATTTAAAATTATGAGGCGGGCCCGTTGTATCCATCCTCTTTCCATGTGGTTGTTTGAAATCTAAGGGCAGTTGTGGTGTCGCAATTTTCCTTAACTTAAGGTGTGGCTATACACAAAAGACCCGATAATGCCTAACTATCCAGCTACATAATAATTAGTTTATTTTATGTGTATGAGTGTTCTGCCTGCCTGTAGGCCTGAGCACATGTGTGCAGTGCCCATAAAATCCAGAGGGGATTCTGGACCCTGGGGCTGGTTCTGAGCCGTCATGTAGGTGCTGGAAGTGGAACCCAAAATCCTCTAGAAGAGCAACCAGTGCTCTAAACCACTGAGCAATGCGTCTAGCACCACAAGATGTTGTTTGTTTGTTTGTTGTATGAAATAGGGTCTATGGAGCCCAGGCTGCCCTGAAACTCGGAGTTCTGTTCACCTGTCTTCTAGACGCTGGAATTAAAGGTGTGTACCAACCACGCCCACCCAGCTAAAGTTTTTGTTTTGTTTGCATAAAGCAGTTGTTTCTGTGTTTATCTAAACAAAGCAGTCACTTTAGAACTTTGATGTGTCCAAATGCGGCGATGTCGCTAGCGACCCTAATGCTCTAAACCGTCCAAGAACCTGAAACAGTTTCGTTCGGTCTGACATCGGGACGGCCTCCGCACACTTCCGTTTCGTTTCCGGCGCCGCCATCTTACTTCCGGTTTCCGCGGCGGTTGGCTTGCGGCCTCGGTCCTGAGCCAAACGGCTAGGACATCTACAGGTAGTCAGACGCCTGCCTTCTGGTGAGTGCAGCCGGGTTTTGCCGGCCGGGGCGGATGCTGTGCGGTGTGCAGAGGGTGCGATCCAGAAGCCCTATCCTGGGTTAGCTTATGACCGCAGTCGCCGTCTGTCCTGACGTGGCTGAGCTCCCCTTCCCTGATGCTGCAGGGAGACTTGTCCTCAGCTGTACCCCGTCTCCTCCTGTTCCTGACCCCGGCACCGCAACTCTTATGTCCGATGTCCCTTTGTCTAGCAGTGACAGTCCTAGAGCAGCCCGAAGTGTGGGGTAAGCCAGGGCTGGGGCATCTCCTGGGCTCGTCCTCGTCTGGAAGACTCTTAAGTGTGCTGGCTTCTGTGGAGAGTGCACAGTAATTGCACAGACTTTTACTGGGGAGACGTACACGATGTCTAGTCCCCTCAGATAGATACTTAGGAGTGACCAAAGGAAAGGTTCCATCATGGTCCAACTTGGTGATCCAGTGACTTTATTGAGCTTACTTATATAGTGAGGATGGTTGACCACCCACTTCCAGACCACCAAGTCCCACCCATTATGGATGGTGACCTCAGGGGAAGCCACCTCATCAAGCTGTTCAGTTCATTTTCCATGCCCTGAATACCCTGGATCACTAGCAAGGTGAGAGGGGTGCCATGGGCGCTCATGGTTGGAATCCCAGATGGAGGGCTGCAACTCTCCTCCTCTTGGACTGTGGAGTGTAACCACTCCATTACCACCACTGTAGACCTGAGGTATTTGACTTATTTCATTGTTATGCCCCCTGGTCAATCTCTGCTCCAAGAAGGAGATGGGAGAATAATGTCAGCCCAGAGGGAAAAGCCATAGGACAATCCTGAGCAGTGGGGTTTAGCACAGTGTGATTCCAGTTCTTGTGGAAACATGCAAAATTGCAACCCCCAGATCCTGTGGTTGTACTTTTAGTTTCTTGCGAAGCCTTGGTACTGTTTTAAAGTCTAGAAGTATTAACAGGACATGGTGATACAGAACTAATCACCCAAGAAAGACTGCACGGGGAACCTCATTTGAAAACTGTGCTTTTAGCACGTTGAGGCCCTGCTGGCCAGAGCTCAGGAAAAGACAAAGCTAAGAGGCATTGTGGGAAGGAGCTACATCCAGACATGAACACCATAGGCAGGCCTTTGTTAAATAGTACTTCGAAGGAACCACAGTAAATGTGGGTCATGTTCATTTACAGGTACAGTCCAGAACCATGTTTAGATTGTACAACGTGTGTCGTCTGTGAAACTTAAATATGTAAACCAAGAGATTGGGATAGAATCCTGTGTGGTGCCGCTGCACTGACAGGAAAATAGGAACCCTACCCAACTGCTTTCTATGGTTTCCTTGACTGCATCATGTTCATTAAAAACCCATCCTTGAAACATTGCCATGTGTCTTCACGATAAAACATTGCTGCTTGCTTAGTGACTATATCGTTGTTCTCTTGCTTTTTTCCTCAGCAACTGTGTAGTGATCTTTGCACACAAACAAGGCCCGGCAAATGCCTATTCACTTCTGTCCACCCTCTCTTCCAGCTGCCATTGCAGGGTGCTACATGTGCCTTAGAGAGCGAGGAAAATGAACACAGTTGTGGTAAGTGGTGTGCTTATTCCTGACCTTGCTTTGTATGTGGTTTCAGAACTTTGTGAGAGCTCCTTAAGTAAAACTGGAATGGGGAAACAAACCTGAGGCACAAAGACGTTGTAAGATCATAGTGTAGACAGAACCACGCTGTAAAGGCGTTAGAGTCATTGGAACTGTGCCACTGGTTTTTCTTTTTTTTTGGGGGGGTGGGGGGGTGGGGGGTCCCAAAACAGGCTTTCTTTGTGTAGTCTTGGCTGTCCTGGAACTAGCTCTGTAGATCAGGCTGGCCCTGAACTCACAGATTCACCTGCCTCTCTCCCCCTAGTGTTGAGGATTAAAGGCGTATACCGCCACCACCTGGCTCACTAGTTTTTCTGATTCTGAGCCATTTGTTAGAGAGATTGGATTGACCCCAGGAAGAGAATATGATCATTCTCCCAGCCTGACATCTAAGCAGGCTTCATAGACTCATGCACGATGATGTGTGCAATGCTTCACTCCCAAGGCAGAGCTGGGTGCAGCGTTCACAGCTTGTCAGGGTTCTCTGCTACTCAGACACGTGTGTGTCCTTGAGTTTTAAATTATAGTCAAATGCTAGCACAGTTCTCTGGTGTCTTGGAACTTCTGCCACATTTGAAACTACTGTCAGCGATCTCCATGTGGAAATTCTTCCGAGTTTTTTTCTATGCATGCGTGCGTTTGTGTGTATAAATGTTTGTAGACATGGGCAGATGTGCATGTGGATGCTGAGAGTGCATATGCATGTGGAGACCCATATTGGATGTCTTCCATCTCACTGAGCTGACTAATTCTGGCTGGTCTAGCCAGCCAGCTTGCCCTGGGGCTCCTTTGTCTCCGCCTCCTAAGTACTTTGGTTACAGGCTGCCACTATACCTGCCTGACTTCAGTGTGGGTCCTCGGGGTCAGGACTCTGGTCTTACACAACAAGCGTTTTATTCTTAACCCCCCTTTCAGTTTCTGTCATGACCCTGCTGATATTTAACATACGGTTATTTTTTATTCTGCTTTGTGTCCCTTCCATTCCCCTGTAGACGTCTGTGCTTCAGGTGTCTGTGGTTGACTTTCTTAACTATTTCTGTGTAGCTTGTACCTTTCTCTCAGCTTTTAGATCATAAGTTTGACTCCTGTGTAGCTATCTATACAAAGGCACCTAAAGCTTCCCTTGTCAAAATGAAGATCCAATCCCCCATTCTTTCCTTATATGGTATTGATAACAATATATCAAATGGCCTTTACCCTACACTAAAAGGAGGAAACCCATCCAGCCTTCTTTTCTTCCTTCCTTCCTTTTTGTTATTTTTTTCTTTTTTTTTCTAGACTTTCTTCTTCGTCCCTCCCTGTCCTTTGCTCCCTGAGGTCTAACGTTAGGAGTTACAGTTCCTGCCAGCTCTGTTGTTGTTCATTCTGCTCCAGTGGCACATGTGATGCTGTAGATGGTGAGGAAGTGTGGTTGCCTAGAGACAAGTATATCCTTTCTTGTCACACCGGAACTGTCCATCTCTGCTAGGTGCTAGGCTGGAAGGATCCGTTCCTCAGTAAGGCCTGAGTGCTGACGAGCTGTACGGCTGGCAGGCAGGTGTGGTGAAGGCCTTGGGAGCAAATGGGAAAATCAGAAGTTAGTGGATACCATTTGTGTACGAGTCATGAGAAAGGCACATGGAGCATGAGTAAAAACAGGAGCACACATCTGGATATTACATGTTTTTGCTAATGCAGCTGTGCGTCTCCCTGTTCTGTATCATGATCGCTAAACACTTTGTTCTGAAGTGTTAGAAACCCAGCACGTTTCCCATGCTAATCGCTGTTTAAGGAACTTGTGAGTTAAACAAAGTGTTTGCTTCCGTGCCCTCCATTTTCAGTGCCACGGTACTCATGAAGATTTCTCCCTTTTTTCCTTGGTTTTTGGCAGCTTGGTCATACCTGCCTTTGTGTGCTGACTTCTGTGCTGTTTGCCCTATTTATCAGGTGGATTATTTGTGACTTTGGTATTTACTTTTTGAGTTCTTTATGTATTATATATGCTAATCCACTGTTAGGTGTGTAGCTAGCAAAGATTTTGTCCCATTCTGTAGGCTTTTTGCTGTTATCTTTGCTGTGCAAAATATTTTTAACTCCATGCTGTCTGACTTGTAAATTCTTGTAATAGATTCCTGAGCTTTTAAAGTCTCTTCAGCCGTTTTGCCTGAGCCTGTCCTTTGATAGACTCTTAGGCACTGTTAGGAATGTGAGGTACTGAAGCAGTTCCTTTAAAACCCTTAAGACACAGCTACTCAGGCTGGAGAGCACTTGATGTCTCAGCCAGGGCGAGGGAAGGAAATGCAAAGGTTACTAATAGACAAGGCAGAAATCGAATCGCCTTCATTTGCAGGTGGCGTGATCATAATCCTGTCACCCTAAGAACTCCACCAGAAGAGTCTCAGACCTGATAACACGTCAGGAATGGAAAACCAGTATATAAAACTCAAGAGATGTTCCATAAACTAGTAACAGTTGTTCAGAGAAAGAAACCAGTCACCTTTACAATATAAACTTAGCAGATCTAATAATGTAATAACTCTAAATTATGAGGTTAAAGACTTCCAGATATGAAAGAAAGAATCTGAACAAGAAAATGTAAGATTGAAAGATTTCCCGTGCTTATGGATTAGCCATGTAGTTTTTCCATAGACGTGTTTATGAGTGTGTGTGTGTGTGTGTGTGTGTGTGTGTGTGTGTGTGTGTGTGTGTGTGTTGGGGGAGCAGGAGAGGGGGGAGAGCCTTTTGAGGCAAAGTCATGTATGCTGGGATCCTGGGATGCCTTTGAACTGGTTGCATAGCTGGGGATGACCTTGAGCTTCAGATCCTCTTCACTTTCTAAGTGTCAGGATTACAGTTAAGAGCCATCATGCCTGCTTGGACTATATTAATAAATTATCTAATATTGAATATTTCTACTTTGCCAAAATAAATTTTAAAGTCTTCTGCAGTTCTCAACATCTGCACCTTTCCCTCAATCGCTGAATATTAGTGTATTTCTGATTCTTTATAGGTGTCCTGTGTTGCTTTAAAGCCATTTCACTTGGTTTGATGAAATTAGCTACCACTGAAATTTCTAATTTTATAAAAATGTGTTGTAATATCTTGTTTGTCCAGTTGTCTGTTAGGCATCTCTGCATTTGATGGAAGGAACTTTAGACAAGTATGTCTAAGATCACTTGTAACTCCTGCCCATCATAGTGACTGCCATTTATCCCAATTTAGTTTACTCCTATGTAAACCAGACTTCCCTGAAACTCAGAGATCCTCCTGTTTCTGCCTCTCGGGTGCATGATTAAAGGTGTGCGTCACCACACCTAGCCAGTTTACCCCTCTTTATAGGACACTGCTGATGTGTATTTCTTTGTGGATACCAGCAGCTCTTCTGGTTTTAGGAAGGACATATAAGGCTGCCTATGAAAACTAATGTGTCAGTATATTATGAGTGACATTTTTGGAGTTGGGCATGTGTTTTAAGTGGAAAGTTAAAGGAATATCCATTATGTATCTCAGTCACTCATCACCAAGCTAGTGAGTAGGCAAGGCGTTTGTAGGTTTCTGTTTTTCTTCTTCCTTAATAAAGAATGCCTATAAGGTGTGTCTCACAGAAGAGATGCTCGTGGAGAGGAGTGACCTTCCATGTTCCTGTCTCTGGCCGAAGGCTGAGGCTTGGGTTGAGGAAAGTTGTTTGATTACAGGGGTTGGTGTCATTCGAGGATGTCTCTGTGGACTTCACCTGGGAGGAGTGGCAGGACCTGGATGATGCTCAGAGGAAGCTCTACAGGGACGTGATGCTGGAGACCTACAGCAGCCTTCTGTCCTTGAGTGAGTAGTCTACAGTAATCCTATGAGAAGTGTGTTAAGCAAGCACCCTACCTAGCTTTCACTGACACATAGTAATCGTACATATTTATAATGGAAGTTGTCATTTCAATACTTGTATACTGTACATATGATCAGCATTTTATAAGTCTATAAATTTTTAGATTTATCATTTCTTTCTATTGAGAACATTTAAAACCCTCCTTATGTGCTTTCTATTTATCTGTTTAATGTGTGAATGTGTGAATGTGTGACTATTTTGTCTGATTGCATGTATGTGTGCTAGGTGTGCCTAATGCCCAATGAGATTGGAAGATGATGTCAGATTCTCTGGAAATGGAGCTATGGGCGGTTGTGAACTGCTATGTGGGTGATGGGAACCAAATCCAAGTCCTCTGCAAGAAAAACAAGTGCTCTTACCCACTGAGTCATCTCTCAAACCCCTAAAACCCTCCCTCTTACTTTCAAGTAATTGTTGCCAATTGTATTTAGCTTTTGTGTACTATGCGAGTTATGTCTCCCATCCAGCTGTTCCCCTGCATCAGTGAACCAACCGTCTTCTTGCCTTTCCTCCTTCCCACACACCATTCCTAGGCTCTGGTAGCCAGGTGTTTGTTCTTTGAGGTTAACATTAGCTTCCAGCCTCAAGTGTGAATATGCAGTGTTTGTTTCTTATAGTTTAATTTCCCTCACTTAATACAAGTACCTTTCAGTTATATCCGTGGTCCTGTGAGAGAAAATCCAGGGTCTTTACCATAGCTGGATGAAGTCCACCCCCTCTGTAGTTAGTTTTCAACTTTTCTTATCAGTTCATCTGAGGGTGGACACTAAAGGAGATTCCAGGTCATCTCTCCTGTAGACGATACTGCAGTAACTGTGACACACAGAGTTCTCTTCAGACCATGGAGAGGGCTTTCCTCTGGGTGTGTGTGTTGTTCTGTGGCAGCTCACTTCTCGGTAGTTTAGTAAGCACCGTGCTGTTTTTTCAGAGTGCCTGTTAATTATGTTTCTAGCAATAGAGACTTTTCTCTCCTGTGTGTGCTCCAGGTTGCTAATCGTTGTAGTTGTGGTTCAGTGAGAGCCCACTGTTGTCTGATCTGCACTGCTGTGGGAGTTGGGGTACTGTTGAAATAGGAGCGGCGGGGCTGCGTCCCCGGCCGCCCCCACGGCTAGCTTTACCCGAAATAATTACACGAAAACTGTATTCTTTTAAACACCGCTTGGCCCATTTCTATCTAGCCTCTTCTAGGCTAGCTCTCGCACCTGGACTAGCCCATTTCTAATAATCTGCTGTAGCCCACGAGCTGGCTTACCAGGAATGATCCGCCTGGAGTGGGAGAATCATGACGACTCTCTGACTCAGCTTCTTTCTCCCAGCCTTCCGTTCTGTTTACTCCACCCATCTAAGGGTGGGCCTATCAAATGGGCCTAGCAGTTTCTTTATTGCTTAACCAATGAAATCAACAGATTGATATATAACACTCCCCCATCAGGGTACAGTGAGAGCCCACTGTTGTCTGATCTGCACTTCTGTGGGAGTTGGGGTTCAGTGAGAGCCCACTGTTGTCTGATCTGCACTGCTGTTGTAGTTGGGGTACAGTGAGAGCCCACTGTTGTCTGATCTGCACTGCTGTGGGAGTTGGGGATATTCACATCCTTATGTCTTTGGGGAAATATCTGTTGTGGTCGTTTGCCTGGATTTCATCAGGTTATTGACTTTTATGCCAGTGCATTGTATAAATTGTATAAGGCAGTCCATCATCAGATAATAATTTATAAATACTTTCTCTTGCTGTGTGTTTTTCTTTTAACTCTCTCAATTGATAGCTTTAATCCTTTTTTATTTTAATTTGTTTTTCGTGTGTGTGTATGGGTCTGTACATGTGAGTCCAGGAGCTGTGGAGGCCAGAAGAGAGCCTTTCCTCTGGAGCTGGAGTTAGAGGCTGTTGTGAGCCTCCTTACGTGGGTGCTGGGGCCAGAACTCAGTTCTGCAAGCTCAGTAATTGCTTTAACCACTGAGCCATTTTTCCAGCCCCAATAATTCTGGTTTCCAGTGCTGATTTTGTCAGCTGTACTTTTGGTATCAGGTTTAGAAAGTTCGCCTTTGCCTAGATTTATATCCTTTTGTGTTTTCAGTATTGGCTTTATAATTCCGGAGTCTACTTGACTTATGTGTATGGTAAGAAGCAGGTTTGGCACCTTTCTCCATCTCAAGGGTTATCCAGCTTCACCGATCTTTCTTCTAAACATTGTTCCTGTTGCTGTGTATGAGGATTAGTTGGCTGTGAACCTGTACATCTGCTTTTGGTTTTTCTGTTACATTGTTATTTTCTATGTGCTTTTTCTTCATGCCTGCACAAGCTTTTTGTAACTGTCTCTTCCAAGTATGTTTTGAGGTTAAAGGGTTTTTTGTTTTTATTTTTTGGTTTTTTTTTTTGGTTGTTTGTTCTTTTATTCTTTTTGTTTGTTTTGTTTTTGTTCGTGTTTTTAAAGACAGGGTTTTTCTGTGTAGCCCTGGCTGTCCTGAAACTCGCTCTGTAGACTAGGCTAGCCTTGAACCCAGAAATCCGCCTGTCCTCTTCCAAGTGCTGGAGTTAAAGGAGTGCACCACCACAACCAGCCTTTTATTCTTTTCATTAAAATTTATAACTGTTTCAGAATGTCATTGGTATTGATTACTGTGAACATGTGAATCGCTTGTGTAGTATTGACACAGATGTGGGGACTCGAACTTTCCTCATGGTGCTGGGCAGGTGTTAAGCACTATGGAATCATTGTAGCTGTTTATGTTAATGATAACTTCCTTAAGTTACTGTAAGCTTTCCTTCGAACCTCCTCCTCCTTCTTCTTCTTCTTTTCCTCCTTCTCCTTTTTCTCCTTCTCCTCCTCCTCTTCCTCTTCCTTCCTCTTCCTCCTTTCTTCTTCCTTCTTTCTTCTTTCTTTTTCCTATAAGAAGCAAAGACTTTGAGGATTGGGTAGTTTGACTTGCTGCCCTGGTTACCTTGCACAGAAGGACTCCCTGCTGACTTTTACTCTCAGGAGTTTGGGTGAATTCTGTCAATTGTGTCCTCCTAGGGGTGAGAAGGGGAGCATGTCCCTTGTAAGCTGACGGGGAGATGGTTGTGACTGATGTAAAGTAAACGATGCTTTGACTGATGCAGACTATCCTCATTGCCATGTGTGGCTCCCTGTTGGTATGCAAAGCCCCCTCTCTGGCTATAGGCATAGACAGTCCAGCTCACCTGGAGCGCTGTCTAGGAGACTCCTTCTGTGCTGCACCCCCTGGTGTTCCAAGAAAAAGCTTCTCTCCAATGGGCTTTTCTCACCTGTTTCTAGTGGAGTAACCTGATCTTCTAATACCAAGAACAAAGTAGTGAAGACTGGAACTGAATCCAAGAAACCAAAAGATGATTTTATCTTTAAAAAATAAAATAACTCTTACTGTTGTTGCTCTGTTGCTGTTTTTATTAAATTCTTTTGTTTGTTCATTTGTTTTTTGAGACAGGGTTTCCCTGTAGCTTTGGAGCCTGGGACTAGCTCTTGTAGCACAGGCTGGCCTTGAACTCACAAGATCCCCCCACCTCTTCACCGCCTGGCTGTATTAAATTCTTATACATTGTTGTTCTCCTGCTTTCCTCTGCTTCCTGTTGTGTTGGTTTTGGGAGGAGCATGGGGGTTCAGAGCTCACTGTTTCCCAGATCATCTTCTGACCTTGCCAACTCCTGTAGCATCTGACTGAGGAGCTTTAGATTTCTGTTGATCCCGTGCTTTTTAAATCTTTTGCTTTGTTGTTCTCGATCCAGGTGGTCAGCAGTCAGAATAATCCTTTCATTCTGTCTGGATCTATCTCTTATTTTAATGTCCTCGGCGTTAGTGTTCTCATAGAATGTTTATTTTGGTCCTGTCATTGCTGAGAGTCTGAAGCCAATATTTTATCATTGGAGTACAACTTGTACAATATTTCCTTCTAATAGACCAGTGTGATGCCAAACCTGAGTTGATCCTGAAGTTGGAGCAAGGAGCTGGGCCGTGGAAGGAAGATGCACCAAACCAGAGCCTCCCAGGTCAGTGAATGCGCCTCAGGTAGGCAGCCCAAGCTAGTGAATGCTCAGCAGGTGGTGGGTGTGTGAAATTCTTTTCACCCAATTTTGCCATCTTCCAATCTTGAGACTAACTTCTTAATCAGATGCTTGCTGTGTTGTATCTAAGGGAGGCTCTCACTTCCAGGTGTCCCCCCTTTCCTGTTTATACTGTGGTTTTTTGTAGGCCTAATAAATTCTGCCCACTCTTCTAGTACTCAAGACCTCATTGTCCTTCTTCCCTCTTAAAATGAAATGCTTCATTTTAAGCCTTTATTCATGGTAAAAAACTCGTCACTTTTTTATTTGATTCCTCATAGATAGTGGTCTCCTGTGTGGGACCAATAGTGGTGGTCCGACACATTTGCCTTGATTAAAGAGCATCTGCTGTGTTGAGACACAGAAATCTTTGACATTGAAAGAATAACTACAAAATTACATTTTCTCGGCTGGATAAATGAATGAAAAATACAGGATGGTTCAAAGGCTAAAGCAATTTGAAGAAAATGGTTTTAAAACTAATATAGGGGGCTGGAGAGACGGCTCAGAGGTTAAGATCACCAGCTGCTCTATCAGAGGTCCTGAATCCAATTCCCAACAACCTCATGGTGGCTCACAACTGTCTATAATGGGATTTAGTGCCCTCTTCTGACTTGTAGGCACACAGGCATAACACTGTTTACGTAATAAGTAAATAAATCTTTTTTAAAAAAATTAATATCAGATTAATTTTGAGAGTTACAAATTTGTTACGTGGTTCATGAGTTAATAGGAACTCTAGTCTTCAGAGTGGCTATGATTTCATTAGAGGTTCCAAAGTGGCATTAATAGTTCTAAGTTAGTATTGAAAACATAGGTTTTTAGGACTCACCTATGGAATTCAAATGTGAGAAAAGATGTCCAAAATCAAATAGTGTGTACCAAGATACCAGAACTTATGAAATTCCAGGAGCATCTGCAAAGACTCCTGGTAGGGGAGATCCAAGGTGTGGTACGTCATCCAGAAGGTCTTAGGCATGGCGGCCAGATGAACCAAGACTCTGTTCAAAGGCTCCTATTTGATGAGGAAATTTTTGACCTTTTTCATTGCGGAACACAAAGTCAGCAGATTTGTGCAGCATTTGCTATGGAATTCTAACCCAGTGGGAGCTCTCAGCCTCTGAGCCATCTCTCCAAGCCCTAATTTGTAATATTACATCATCGGGGATGGGGGTACTTCTTCACTTTTGCATTAGAATTCTACCAGAATCACTTCTGTGCTGTTCATGTAGGGAAACTTTTATTTGCTTTCAGCTATGAAGTCTGAGAAGAGCCTGAATGAGACCCACTGGGACAATCAAATGAGACATTTGAACCACCTGGTAATCCCTGGCATCTCATCAGCTGAGGAGAGGGTCAGATTTGGGGAAACATTTACTATGAGTTCAAACCATGTTTTATGCCCAGCTATTAAGAAAAGGAACTCTTCTGAAATGAGATCGGAGGTTCCTGATAGATGGGGAGATCTCCATGGTGAGCCCAGTGAGATGCCGCCCTTAGAGGAACTCCATCATCTCGCTACAACCAGGTTGTCATGCCGAGTTCCTGAGCCTCTTAGTCTGGATGATGGTGTTGAAAGTGGGCAACGACACCGTCAGTGCAGACCACATGCCGAAGCCTTCAGTGGGAACGCTGGGTGGACACATAAGGGCTTTCCTTTGGGAGATAATCCGAGTAAGTTAAAGGAACACAGGAAAGCCTTTGATAAACTGGCTCCTAGTGCCCAAGAGGGGACTCACATAAGGAAAGAAACTTTGGGTTGCAGCTTGTGTAAGAAGTCATTCCCTGACAAGTGTAACCATACTCAGCATTTTAGGACATGCATAAAAAACAAATGTGGTAAATGTACCGATTGTGAACCAACATTCAGTACAAAACCAGGCCATACAATTCTTCAGAACACTCGGCATGCGTGGGAGAAGCCCTGTGGATGTAATGGTGATGAGAAATGTGTGTGTCACATGTCAAAGCAGAGGGTTAATCAGAGTGTCTTCTCAAGTAAAGAGAGTCACTGTGTGAAAAAATTATGCCCAAACTCAAATTTCAGTGTGCACCAGAGACCTCACACAGGTAGAAAACCCCGTGAATGCAATACATCTGCAAAAATCAACAACCAACCTCGTAGGCGTCACAGATGTGGGAGGACCTATCAGTGTAAAGTATGTGGGAAGGCCTTCAGACACACACAGAATCTCTACTTGCACTACAGAACGCACACTGGTGAGAAGCCGTATGAGTGTAAAGAGTGTAAGAAACTGTTCAGCGTAAAGTCAAATCTCAGTGTACATCAGAAAACTCACACGGGCGAAAAACCCTATGAGTGCAACATATGTGGAAATGCCTTTAAAAGGAGGTGCGACCTAACTATACATCAGAGAGTTCACACTGGTGAGAAGCCCTACGAATGTAAAGAATGCAGGAAAACTTTCAGTATAAAGTCAGGGCTCATTGTACATCAGAGAATTCACACAGGCGAAAAACCATATGAATGTAACGTATGTGGAAAGCGTTTTAACCAGAAGTCAAATCTCTCTACACATGAGAAAATTCACACAGGCGAGAAACCCTTTGAATGTAAGGAATGTAGGAAATCATTTAGTGTCAAGTCGTATCTCACTATTCATCAGAAAACTCACTTGGGGGAGAAACCTCGTGCCTGAAATCTGGGGAAGCCTTCTATCAGAAGACAAACCTCCACAGGCATGATAGAGCTGGCGCGGTGAGAAACCCTGTGACCGTAAAGAATGTAGGAGAAGTCATTTGACATCTCTTCCTAACCCTCGGGGGATTCAGAGGTGGCGATGTAAGGATGTAAGGGCTGCAGGGACCCTGTCGGGCTTAGTCACGTCTCATTCATTAGTGAGGCCTACCAGTGTGGGGTATGGTCAGAGACTTGACAGACGTCAGACTTTAGTTGTTGGAGAACTCTTACCGGTGAGAAACCCTCTGACTGTAACGTGCAGGGTGGGGAGTTCACACAGGTGAGAAGCCCCGTGATGTAGTTACGCGGAAAGCCTTTAGTCCGGAGGCCCGTCTCTGAATTTGAGTTCACACTGGTGAGCAGGCCTAAAGAACATAGGGAAGTATTTCAGACATGTTATCTCTCTGTTTATATCACAGAAGTCAGAGTTGTAGAACCTGACACACGTCAAACCAACATACACATTAGAGAAACCTCACAGTTGAGAGACCTTCTGAACGGAAACACTAGGAAATATTTCCACCAAATGTCCCTCAGAGTACTCAAAAGTGGGCAGGGGAGAAGGTCTCAGCAGCAGATACAGCTCACTGCACATCAGACACACACAGCTGAGGAACTGTTTGAATGCTGTGTCTGTTCCCAGATGTCAGGTCACGACTATCATCAGGCGAGACTGTAAGCCATCCTACCCTGCATACCAAAGAAGACACGTAGGATAAGCCATATCAATCTAACGTGTGCAGAAACTTGGTTCTGTAATACAGACATCTGCCTCCACTAGAGATCCACATGAATACAAAGCCTCCGAATATAAAAGCTGAAAAACAACCTGAGAGTGTAAAGAATGTAGAAAATGCTGCATATTGTTGGGGTGTGTGCAAGAACTCACACAGGTAGCCATGCTCCCACCTAGGTGAATGCAACAGACATTCGTGCACATCAGAAAACCCCTCACTGCTGAGAAAGCGCAAGAGTGTGATATATATGGGCAAAACTTTTACCAAATGGAAACGCTCTGGCTAGCTCTTGGGCTGGAAGTACATGAATGTAATGTATGCGGACAATTCTTTTATAGGAAGTTGACCTCCACATTGGAGAACACGGCCAGAGCCCTATTGGGATTTAACTAGTCATGACTCATTTCTTTCCTGCCTCAACCCCAGGCCCTGAACTCCATTATCCCTGGATTTGTGTTCATGGCCTGGAGGCAGATAAGATTATCTTTGAGGAGAAGACTGTATAGAGAATGACAGGATCACAGACATGCTTTATTGGAGAGAGCAGAGGTTTTATGTGTTTAAAATCTCTTGTTTGTATGAGTGATTCAGTCTTTTTGCAACATAATGCAAAATCATTGGGACCCATTTTAGGAGTGTCTCAGACAAGGGACCGTCCATGTTAAAACACCCCCAGGAGAGGGTCCTCTTGTCACCTTTGTATTTTCAAGCCATCCTGTGGAGAAAAAGAAACATGAAATTTCAATAAAATTTAAATGCTTTACCTGGCACCAGCATTTCATTGAAGAGATAATAAAGTATGTTCATGTGTGAAACATGTTTATCCATAAAACATTGAAATTCATAGTATCCAGTCATTCATAAAATGAAGTTGTCAGTTTCTAAGTGTTATAGTAAGAAAATGACTTTTGTTCTGGGTGTGGTGGGACAAGTCTTAAGTCCCAGAATCCAGGAGGCAGAAGCAGTCAGATATCTTTAAGTTTGAGACCAGCCTGACCTACATAGAGAGTTCCAGCAGGGCTACATAATGAGACCCTATCTCAAAAAAAAAGTCAAATATGTCAGAGGGTAACTATTTCTGCTGGAGCCTGATGCAGTGGTTTGGTCTACATTTGAGGACATTTGTGTTTCTCACAACCAACGTTTAAGAGGTGCAGCCGGCACTAGTGGGTACCAGGAGTGTGTGCAGCTGAACTGCTGAGGACCCGCTGTCCTTTCCTGAGGAGGCAGGAACAGAGATGTGTACTTGGCCCAGATAGGGCACAATTCCGTCAGACTCCAGTCTGGTGAATCCAGAGAGAGAATTTGTTGAGGTTACAGGAGTATGGGAGAGAGGTTGCTGAGCAGGAACGGGAATGATTCTGCAGCTCCATCTCTTAAAAGCCCACCCCAGTGCGGGGATGACTCAGGAAAACTGGAAAATGCTTGCAGGAAACAAAGGAGATCACATAGCAGGTCAGAGAGTCTTCCCTCCCCAGCAGTCCTTCCTGTTTTTATAAGCTTGGGAA